ATCAACAATATATGCATTTGGACCAACCTGCTTTAAAATTTTAAAAGGACCAGCACTACGACCTTGCAATTTGGAGGTGGGTCCATGTAGACGCCGCTCTAGCCTAATGCGAACCATAACGTAATCCCCAATGTTAAACTCAATATGTCGTTTGTGTAAATCAGCTTGGAGTTTATATTTTGTATTACTAGCTTCAAGTTGTTTATTGATCTCAATATGCAAGTCACGAAGATGTTCGGGTTAGAAGGGGCCAAAGAATTAGGATCAAGGTCTACAAAAGGAGATGACAGATGATCATCTGAGGAAATGAAATGGCCTTTATAAGCTACAAGGTCCTCAACATTGAAAGTAGAGTGGTAACCAAGGTGTGGTGGAATATCAACAATATAGGCATTTGGACCAACCTGCTTTAAAATTTTAAAAGGACCAGCACTACGAGCTTACAATTTAGAGGCGGGTCCATGTAGACGCCGCTCTGGCCTAATGCGAACCATAACGTAATCCCCAATGTTAAACTCAATATGTCGTTTGTGTAAATCGGCTTGGAGTTTATATTTTGCATTACTATATATCTCAGTATGCAAGTCACGAAGATGTTGTGCAAATGCTTCGGCTGATACTGACACTCTAGCCTGTGGGGACATAGGGATGAGATCTAACGGTTTCCTAGGTTTGTACCCATGAACGGCTTCAAATGGACTCATACCTAATGAACGGTTTATGGAGTTATTATAAGTAATTTGAGCTACAGGAAGGATCAAATCCCAATTTCGCAGGTTTTCCCGGACCAGACAACGTAATAGGTTACCAAGACTTCGATTAACTACTTCAGTTTGACAATCAGTCTGAAGGTGGTAGGCCGTAGAAAATTTCAATTTGGTACCCATCTTATACCACAAAGTTCTCCAAAAATGACTAGTGAAACGAACATCCCTATCAGATACGATGGTCTTGGGAAGCCCATACAATTTGACAATTTCATTAAAGAATAACATGGCAATCTTGGGCGCATCCGACGTCTTGCTACAGGGGATAAAATGAGCCATCTTTGAGAAGCGATCGACAACCACAAAAATAGAATCATGCTTCTTTGGGGTGCGTGGAAGTCTTAACACAAAATCCATACTAACATCTAGCCAATGACAATTAGGGATAAGGAGAGGGGCGTATAGACCTGTGTTCTGCTTCTTCTGTTTACTCAATTGACAAGTGTTACAAGTACTAACAATTTTAGCCACGTCTTTTTTCAAGCTAGGCCAATAGAATTGACGTTCAACTTCCTCTATGGTCTTATCACGTCCAAAATGATCAGCTAACCCTCCCGCATGAATTTCCCACACGATGAAATTTCGCACTGAAGTTTGAGGGATGCACAATTTATTGGCTCTAAAGAGATAACCCTCCTCAAGTCGGAAACCATCTGTAGTGCCTGATTATCCCCTTTGTAAATCAAGAAAGATATCTTTAAAATCGGGACAGACCTCGTAATTCTCCTTAAGTCTTTCAAAATCGATGACCTTGACACTTATGATCGACAAAAGGGAGATACGACGACTTAATGCATCAGCTGCTTGGTTCTCTGCGCCCTTCTTGTGTTTTAAAACAAATGAATAGGCCTGCAAATATTCGACCCAATGATCATGCCTAGAACTTAATCTTTTTTGGGAGTTGAGGTAACTGAGGGCCTCGTGATCCGAATAAAGGACAAATTCCTGGGGTAACAAATAGTGGCGCCAATAGCGCAAAGCCTGGACCACTGCATACAGTTCCTTATCATAAGTTGAATACGGCTGTTTGGCTTCATTTAACTTCTCACTGAAGTAGGCAACAGGGTGACGATCCTAACTTAAGACTCCGCCTATACCTACCCCGGAGGCGTCACATTCAACTTCAAAGACTTTGAAAAAATCGGGAAGACGCATGACAGGGGCATCTGTCATTCGCTTCTTGACTAACTTAAAGGCCTTAGCCATCTCTTGTGTCCAATGAAACTCCCCTTTCTTCAAGCACTCCGTAATAGGCGCCACTATAGTGCTAAACCCCTTAATAAAGCGACGGTAAAATGTAGCTAAGCCGTGAAAGCTCCTGACGTCATGAATAGCTTTAGGCTCAGGCCAGTCAATAATCGCCTGAACCTTAGCAGGATCAACGGATACTCCTGTCGAAGAGACAATGAACCCCAGAAAAACGACTGTGTCGGTGAAGAAAGAGCACTTCTTGACGTTAGCATGTAGATTAGTTGCATGAAGGGTAGAGCAAACTTGTGTGAGGTGGTCAAGGTGTTGCTCCTTAATCTTACTATAGATGAGGATATCATCAAAGTAGACAACAAGAAACTTTCCCATGAAAGGTTGGAGAGTTTGTGTCATTACTCGCATAAAGGTACTTGACGTATTACTCAACCCAAAAGGCATGACCAGCCATTCATAAAGACCATCTTTCGTCTTAAACGCGGTCTTCCACTCATCACCTGGACGAATTCGAATCTGATGGTATCCACTCTTCAGATCAATCTTCGAAAAGATTGTGGTACCAACCATCATATCTAACATATCGTCAAGTCTAGGAATGGGAAACGATACTTCACCGTGATCCTATTGATCGCGCGACTATCCACACACATCCTCCAAAAACCATCCTTTTTGGGCGTCAATAGGGCGAGGACAGCACACGGGCTTGAACTCTCACGAATGAATCCTTTGTGAAGGAGGTCATCCACTTGCCTTTGAAGTTCAGCGTGCTCGGTAGGATTCATCCTATAATGAGGCAAATTTGGGAGGGATGCCTCTGGGACAAAATCTATGGCATGTTGAATATCCCTTAATGGAGATAGATGGTCAGGTAGGTCCTCCGAAAAGACGTCTCGAAACTCTTGGAGAACCGACAAGACTTCAACAGGGTTCTCTATTGTGGAGTGGGATGGAACCTCCATGACCACCAAAGCGAACACAACTGAGTCACCAACAAGTGTACGCTCAAACTCCGTAGAACTAATGATGTGCAATTCCTTTCGTTCCACACTTTTCTTCGTTTCCAGTGGGCCAGCAGGCTTTGGGGGCAGTGGGTTAAGGTGAATCTTCTTTCCATTAAACACGAAGGAGCAATTGGATCGACCATAGATGGTTACATCTAGGTCAAATAACCAAGGTCGTCCCAAGATAATGTGCCTGACATCCATTGAAATAACGTCACACCATATATGGTCCTTATACTCGAGAAACTGGATAGGGACTAAACAACGCTCCTTGATAGCTATGGAGGAGGTATCAACCCAAGAGACGCTGTATGGCCGAGGGTGAGGAACAGACTTCAACCCTAGACGGGATACAGTAGTCATCGAAACCACATTAATGCAGCTGCCACTATCCATGATAACTTTACAGCCCTTATTATTAATCTTGATGTAAGTGTGGAAGATGACATGACGGCGCCAATCATCGGCATCCCTAGGCTGGGTAAGAGTACAACGGACGACACCGACTCTAGGCGTATGTGGGATAAGGGGACTAGCCTGAATACAACCCAAGGAGGTATCTTCACTATCCTCCAAGTCATCAAACTCTTCTAACTTAAATCATTAACCTGATCCTCTAGTGGCTCGTCAACTATACCCTCACGCTCTTCCAAAACTAGGGCTCGGCTAGGACACTTAGAAGCAATGTGACCAAAATCCTTACAGTTGAAGCATTGCAAACGAGAGGACGTTCTTGAAACCTCAGAACCTCTACCTTTACTATCCGATGTAGGGGTAGTACTAGAAGGAAGAGGTCCTAGAATAGACTTAGGGGATGGAGTGGATGCAGAAGAGGTTGCAGTGCGGGAGTCACTACGACCTCTGTACGGTGTCCTAGTCACTAACTCGTAATTCCGAACGAAAGAGTAGGTGTGGTCAAGAGTGGTGACACCTTTAAGAACAAGCTCACGTCTAAGATCATCCCGTAGGCCTTGCCTAAATCTACTCAAGGTCATGACTTCATCCTCAACGACCTGACATCTCATTCGAAACTCGTCAAACTGAGCAACATATTCGGTCACAGGTCGACTGCCTTGCGTAAGTGCGTTCCATTGATCCAGCAAGTTGCCCCTGTAAGATTGAGGTAAATATTTTTCTTCAAAGCGGCGCTTCATTTCATCCTAGTTCCCAACAGGGGGAGCATGGCGCCTCTCTAGGAGGTCCTCAACACTTTTTCAAAACAGTTGAGCTGTGCCAGTTAATTTCAAACTGGCAAATTGTACCCTCCGATCTTCAGGGACCCCATACCAGGCAAAGAAGCGATCCATATCTCTAACCCATTGATTGAATACACTAGGATCTAGACAACCATCAAATGTAGGGGCATCTAACTTAATATTTCGAAAGAGGCGCTCCTTGTGGCGAGGGGGAGATAGTGTACCATGACGGTGATATTCCCGCTCACGTCCACGAGCTTGATTTCCCTCCCTACGATCATATCTAGCATGGTGTCAACCACCTTGTGGACGACGATGAGGTCTATTAATGGAAGCGTCAGAATTTTTAGCTTTAGTTGAGTATTGGGTTGGGTCAAGAGTGTTTACCCTAGCGATTAGGGCTCTATTCTCCTCACGAGTAGCGGCTAACTCAGTTTGGATAGCCGTTAATTGGTTTTGTAATTGTGCCAACTGTCGGGTGATAGCTTCAATGTGGGAAGGGTCCATGGTAAGGGTACTAGCACTAGACGCAGTAACTCGATCACTACGCAATTGCATACACAGTGATACAAGCTAAGTGAAGTGAAGTGCACTGCTGAGATCAACAACCAACGAGTGCCAACAAGGATAATAGTGACTGAAATTTATCTATTGTTATTATTATTATTTTATTTAATTTTAGGGATTACATATGGCCCGATCGCAAGCTAATAATACTAATGCCAATAAAATAAAAGCAAGTGGTCCAAATGATAGGCCTAGTCACGTGGGGTAACGGGTGAACAATGGGAAATAGTTCGCGAATTTCAGTCAAGTAGGTTTAAGGCTCAAACTTCCAAAGTATTAGCAACACAAAGAAATAATTGATGCAATTCTAAATAAAGCAACAATGTAAACTAAAATGGATAAGAGCAGGGACTCCCTGAGTTCGATTGTGCCCCTTTTTGTATTCCGATTGATCAAAATTTGTCAACTTGTGAGAGGCTCCAAGTATGTTCCTGTAGCACCCCTCGTTGCAGTTTCCTTCAAACCTTAGAACACCCTCCTGCTGAATTGTGACTCATACCAAATGTGGTAGGGGTTATAGATAGCAACCAAGTTCCCAATAACGTGTCTCTGATTCCGTTGACTCCCTGAACAGTGGCTTCAAATTGATTGTGTGATATGTTGGCAGCTGCTGTGACGGAGGTATGTGAAGTGAATTATAGTTGTGGTGGTCAATGAGCACTTTGTTGTCTGCTGGCCAGAAAACTTTCCAATGGATGTTGGTGCTCCACTAGTATACTCAAAATAGTCATCATGTGTATAATGTATTTGTGGTGTACATAATATATATCAATGAACAATACATGGGAAATTTTGTGTGGTGGAAGGTGGCGGCAGTAGAAGAATGGGTCGCCGACACAGCAGGGTCAGGGAAGAAAGAAGATAAAGCCAGCGCGGGTGTTATTGCAGAAGGTGCGACGGTCTGCTGCGAAGGCAATCTCGCAGGTGGATTGGACGATGGTGGCAACTGAATTGAAGGAGGTGGTGGCAGTAGGGCGCTTGCGGTTTGTGGAGTGTTGGTTGAGTGAATGTGTTAGCCAGAAGGTGGAGTGGCCGGAGAAGATTGGTGGCGAGAGGCACCGGTGATGGCGGTTGTGCTGTTGGTCGTGGGTATTGACGGGGTGAGCTGCTGGTCGTGGAGAGTGACAGGATGAAAAGTTAGGGCTCGAGTTGTGAAATTAATTTAGGTAGTGAGATAGGAGTTGGGTTGGGCCGGGTGGAGATGAGTGTTATAGTATGGGCCAAGTACTGTGAGTTGGGCCGGCGATTGGTGTAATGGGCTAATGTGGGTGTGGGCTGGATAATTGGTTTGTATGATAGATCGGTGTTATTGTGGGCTTTTGGGAAAATTGTAAGTAGATTGAAATTGTTGGAAAAGCAATATTACTAGCAGCAGCCACAAATAAAATACGAATTTTTATTTTTATTTTTATTTTTTTTTATTTTTGTTGTAATAGACCGCAGGAAAAAAAAAATCTAAAATTTGGAACTTCGGGCGTGAACAATAACCTTTTTTTTTTTCCCAACTAAGTCTGAAAATTGAAGGATAAAATTGCTGCCTTAACCAAAATACTTTTAGTTTGTGCTATTCCAACAGATTTATGGGAAGAAGATACGAAGAAATTGTGGGTTGAGGACGAGAAATTACCAAGATTCAGCTCTGATACCAAATTTGATGCAGCACCAACGGGATGATTAATAGAAACAGAAGAAGATTCAGAAAGAATAGGGGATTAACAGAGGGGGAAGAAGAAGAATTCAATAGGAGAGGGAGAAAGATGCGCCATAAACCACCAAATAATTATTGTTCATTCATCAACTGAAAATTATAATGTAAAATAGGTTTAAATAGTTAAGCAACCCTAACAAGCTTGGGCCCGAGCCCATACAAGTCCAAATCCTAAGTAATAGTCCAAAAGATAAATAAAGCATAAATAAAACGTAAATAAAATAAGTCACGTCCGATGTCCTCATCACTTAGCCAGTCATCGTTGTCCGATAACTATGGTAACATGTAATACCAAAACTATAGAGCCAATAATAATGACTGTAAATGTCTGGTAGATGCATTTTCAAGATATGTGCTGCGCTTCAATTTGTTAAAAGATATGCCATTTCCGCTACCTTAGCCTCTTAGGAACATCTCATCCTTCCAATTCTCTGGGGTCTTACTTTTAGTAGTAACAATTTTCTGAGCCTTACATCAACTCACGAAATTAGTGCTAATACCTATCAAATGTTGATATTGTAGCAAGACAACCAACTTAATAGAGTACTTATCAAGAAACATGCAGCCTCTGACAAATCTTCTTTGAAATCTCATGCTTCAAACTTCCCAAGGACAAAACTCACAGACACTTGAGTGAGTGAACTAAAAAGAGAAGGTATGTTGTTAAACATGTCATATTTAGAAAAAAAAAAAAAAAAAAAAAAAAAAAAAAAAAAAAAAAAAAAAAAAAAAATTATAATTATGCTCTATTTATATGCTTGGTGACCTTTTCCTTTGGCCAAACGACTCGAGCATTGTGCTCGGCAGTTAACTTACTTATTGTCAGCTTTGGGAGGGGATCTGCTATATTTTAGATTACAAACCTTAGCTTTAACTACGAAAATGGGGAGAAATAACTTGGAGACTCCTCTTAGGATAGTAGAGGGCTCAGATACAATAACCACAAGGTTGGTTAAGAAACCAACTCAAGAATAAAATAACCATTATCAGGGTTTTATTATAAGACAACAATGAGGTGCAGTTAATACAATCATCTAAAGTCAATATGCAAATGAAAACTTTATATTTGCAAAGCAATGTATGTTCTTATTCTAGTCAAATCTATATTCCGTGTTCTTTCTGCCATCATTGTGTGGCATATAGTCCAGTCCATATGTTACTTCATATAGTCCAGTCCAAATGTTACTTTCTCAATTAGAGGTAAGTAACTACTATAATTTTCAGTCAACATCATTCCTATTGTGGTTATGGATGCCATTAATTTGTTAAAAAGTATCACAGCACTTGAAACATCAAGGTGAACATTTAAGGAAAAATATTTCAGAAATATTCGAACTTTGAACTTCTTCAATGATACATTTAAAAAAGCACTTATATATTGTCCAATAAGAAAAAAGCATATTGTCTATTTGCACACAATTAATCAACATAGAAACTCTAGAACCCAGGTGCTCAATTAATGTGATTTTTCTAAATTGGGCAAACATAAACACCCTGCCCCATCAAAACAACCAAAATTAAAAATAGCTATCGAAAGGCAAGTCACGTGCACCTCAAGATGACCAAGTAACGTGTGGCTAAGCACTTGTTTCTTAGAAATACACGAAGTAGCAAAAGGCACCAACAAGGCAACGAGCTTGGAATGAAAGAATAGAATTGGCACAAGGCTCACAACAAATTGCTTAGTTGTGAACTAGACCACAAAATTTGATTACAAACACCAACATGATATGGAAAAAAAAAAAAAAGAACTAACAACCATTTAAAATGGGCGAATGAGTAAATATGCAACTGAATTTTCAATTAGAAACTCTTCTAGTAAAAGTGTGAAAATTCACTACTTGGTTTAAATAGTTTGATAATTGAACACTTTTCTATTCAAAATGTTCGAAGGAATAGGTATATTTTCCAATTAAAGGACAGTCCAAGACCTATAAATGCAAATTTCATAATTTTTTCATGAGCATCAAGTTTCACTTCAGCCTTCCCATGGTTGGATGCTCTTGCAAATAAGTCATTGGGTACATCCAGATTTCCCTTTAATAGTTACCCTTTCAATTTTCTTTCTATACAGAAACACAAATTGGCCAACTTATGGTGCCTAGTCCTAGTCCTACATGGATCACTCTTGCCCACGCATCAACATACACGTAAAGCTTCCATCAGAAATTATGTTTATGTTTATGGGTATATAGCTCAAAAACTCCCATCTTGAACAAAATGTTGGTGTCATACATTTAAGAAAGATGCAGATTATAGAAAACAATTAGCCAGAAAATGTGAAGAAAAGAAATCTAAATAACATTAGATGTTTCAGCACTCAAAGGAAAAAGCCACCTGAAAAAATTTGTCCCACAGCTTCTCAAAAGGTAAAGCACCCGGTGTCAGAAATAGGAATGCAATTTTGGAATTCTCTGGTAAACTAGGATGCATACTCAGGATATCTCTAATTACAACACGAGATGCAATCTCATCATCGGTTAGTTCTCTCACAGGAGCAGGTGGAAGCCAGTTAGATAATGCCTTGCAACCATGAGAGGAGAATACATAGCATGTTGTGGAATTCTGAAGCGGATAAACATAAGCACAAATCAAGAACACGATAACTAAAGAAACCAGAATGATAATCCATATTGGCTTCTTTAAGTTACTGCGGTGACGAGACACATGCAATATTTGCATATCCTTCATGCCTAGACGCCACGACTGAGCCATTTTCTTTTAGAAATGATGCATCAAAGATATATCTCCCGAAGAACTTTATCTCTTTCCAAAGTTCAAGTCAAGACTAAATGCACTTTATTATGATTAACTTATCAGCCAAAGATAGATCATCATAGCATTGCATTCAGTAAGAATCTGAACCTGCAAGGCAAACAAAAGTGTATATGTGACAACTAACAAACTGCAAAAATTTCAGATTCTGAAATTTGAAGCAAATTCATGTCACTAAACAACGTAGAAAATATGATTCCATGTACACTTCATATCTAGGATTCAAAATTAACATACAACAATCAATCCACATCAAAATTCATACCGTAGTAACCGTCCAACAAAATTTTCAAGTTAGTATAATCAAACTCCAAAAAGCAATGAAAAAGAGAGAGAGGAAAAACATGGGGAAATCAAAGAGTGATGGAACCTGAATTCAAGATCCCAGGAGCTTAGCAGTGAGGAAATAAAAAAATCAAAATAGCACCTTGAGAAACCTCGATTGGAGGACGAAACTTGACAAAAGCCTAGCGGATTCACATTTCCTAGGACACCCAAAAGAACCCCCCACGCCAACCCACAATTTAATGGTAAAATTAGTTCCAGCAAAACATTGAAACCCAATTTGCGCCTGTAAATCAAATCCATAATTTGGAAACCCTTAAAATTACAATTTCAATCTACTCGCATAAAAACACACACACCTGGGCGTATGAATATTAACCTACAATATATTTTATTTGAATTATGTTAACGGTACAGATATATTTACAAAAAGGGGATTAGATAGACAGACACACACGTACATGCAGCCTCCATTGCCTTTAATGATCACCTCCCCTCCAATAAAACGAAAAGAAAAGAAAAGGAAAGCAAGAATCACAAATCAGAACCAAAAAAATAAATAATAATAATAAAAAAAATCCCAATAAAATTCAAATTCTATAAATACCCAAATCCAAATAATAATCCCACAAACAAATCATATTGTTGCCAATAAATTAACAAAAACATTAAGTAATACCTTATTAGTTGAGCACCGTAAGCTCGAAATAGATCGAGAAGTTGAATTTTTTTAAATCCAACGGATCCGTAAATGCGAACGAACAATTATAGCATGAGTGTTCAAGATCTGGTGCACATCGAATAATAGAACCAATCAAAGCAAGAGTATGATTATGTGTGTAATAATATGAATAGATAATAGAGATGAATATTTGTCTTGGAAATTTCAGAGTTGAACGTTCCATAGCACAGTTTAGCCGGCAATTTTTACAAATTTTCAATTATTTACTATTAATTGACCGTTGACTCAATGACCAATGCCAAATGTACAGATTTTCATGCATGCAGTACAAAGATTTGTCATTTGTAAAAATACAAATGATACCTCGCTGGAGAAAAGTCTTCCATTATCAATAACATATAGAAAAACAATGAAAAAAACTAAAAGCAATTGTTTAACATATGAAAATTGTGGAAGCTTCGAACAATAAAAAGGTTTTTATTGTAACTTATTATTTAGATGAATTAATCCATCGAAAAATTCATTATCTAT